TGTATTTTGCTAGCAATTTCTTACTGGAATTGCCTTGAGAAGGGAAGCTAGATATTCTCGTCAGTACCAAGTCCCCAACTTTATACTTCATTGCAGATGCCCTCTTCTTATTGAAGTACTTGTTCTGCTTCTGCCTATTTTCCTCCAACCTGGTAGCTATTTCAGTTCGCAACCTTGTTATGTCAATCAATATTTCTTCGCCGGTAAACGAATAGTCCCCATCTACTCTCAATTTTACACCAAACATAATTTCTGCCGGGGTGGCCTTTGTAGTTTTATGTATTGTAGTATTTATACCTTGTTGTAATTGATCTATTTTAATAGCCCAATCATCAGCTTCAACACTTGCACCCGTGCTCACCTTCCAAAATTTGCCCTTTCCACCTGCCCATTTCCGCGAGGCATTCCAACCGCAGTCACAAAAAATCGTATATTTTTGTCTTCACAATAGGTTGTGAATACATTCGAAGTGAATGCTGTACCCGCGTCGCTGATAATTCTTCTAGGGTTACCAAAAATTGCAAATATCTTATTTAGTTCTCGTATAACATTAATTGATTTAGTGTTAGGTACGGGCCGTGGAAATGTGAACTTAGTGAAAGAGTCTATTGTTACAAGCAGATAACTATTTTTTGATTTTACGAAAGGACCTAAATGATGGATGTGTATTGTATGGAATGGTGCAGCATACTTCGGGATAGAGTATAACATTGCGGGTTTTTTCCCCGCAGGTGTTTTGTGATATAAACAATTGAGACAACAATCGATATATTTCTTCACAAACTTTCGCATCTTCGGGAACCAATATCTTTCTTTTATCCTTGATATAGTTTTCTCATAAGCAAAATGACCAATTTCATCATGATTAGCTTTAACTATTTGCCACCTGCATCCCTTTGGTAGCACCCATCGCCTTCCATCTTTGGTTTGTCTATATACTTTATTTCCACGTAAATCGTCATTGAAGATTGATTTATTATTATCACTGTCACCGGACAAAAGGATATCCTTGATGTTCTTGTCTTGATCTTATGCGGCTGCTAACCAGTCGTCTTCAGATATAAAATTAATTCCTAGAATGTTTGATTGGCTTATTTGGAGATTTGGAGGATTTCGGCTGAGTGCATCGACATGCCGCATCTTTGTTCCAGGGCGATGTTGAATTTCAAAATAAAATTCTTGCAAGGCTTGAACCCATCTTGACTGAGTTGCAGTCCGTTATAACGATGAAAGATATCCCTAATAGGTAATGTCTGAATCGGTTCAGTGTTTTGACAACTGCGAGTAGTTCTAATTCGAAGGAATGGTAATTTTTCTCTTCTTTACTCGTGGCTTTACTGAAATACGCTACTGGTTTTTCGCCGGTACTGTCATTTTGAACCAACATTCCAGCAAGTCCTTCCCGACTTGCATCAGTATATACGAGTGTTAGGATTGAATATTGATAAAATAGGTGATGATGTGATGGTATTTTTCATGTAATCAACTAAACTAAAATACTCGAAGTGCCCTTCCTAATAAATGCTGTTTTTGGCACAGACTCAGCTTTCAAAGGAATTTGGTGGTAGCTCGACGCCAGATCAATTGATGAGAAATATTTAAAACCTGAGAGACTAACAATTAGGTCTTCTATCATGGGCATTGGGAACTTGTCTTTCACTGTTATTTTATTCAGAGCTCTGTAGTCGACAACCATATGTTTCTCACCGTATTTTTTACTAACCAATAATACAGGACTAGCATAAGGGAATGAGCTATGTTGTATTATTTTTGCTTCCTACAGTTCTTTCGTGATGATATGTGGATTGTTTTTATCCCGTTGTGCCACCCTGTATGGACAAAAAAAGGTTTTTCGGAAGTTACAGGGAGAACAAATTCGTGAAAATATATGATTTGGATTGCTCTATGATCTCATATAATTTAATCTTCTCGGTGTCACTTATTTTTCCATGTGTAAGAAAGAATCCATGATAAATGTTGTCTATTTTTTATCACCAAAAATTATTTCATTATCAACCCTATAATAGAAGATACTGTGATCATCGGAAAAGCTTTTTCCTATGAGGACGTCATGACCAAATTCAGAACTATCAATGACATACATCCTACAAACTAACTGAGCTCCATCGACATTTAACTTTGCCTCCATATACTCATTTATTGAGATTCCAACTCCTAAAAATCCGACCAAGGTCACGGGCGTCTCTAATTTTTTTATAGGGATATCAAAATTGTTCACCAGTTGTTTTCGAATTTTGCAACAATCACTACCCAAGTCAATGAATACTTTACAAGAGTTTCCATCAATCTTTACAGTTTTATATGATAGGAACTCATTTGAGGAAACAACCATAATGTCTTTCCCATCTCTACCTTCCTTATCTGGATTGGCTATTATGGTATCTGATTTCAATCTGCGAATTTTCCCAATGTGTCCTATTTTTTTTACAATGATAACAGGTTTTTCCCTTATGTGAACATTGGTTACGGTGATGTGCAGAACTACCGCACGAGTAACATCTACCTTGTAGAACTTGATTCTTGTTTTCTCGAAAAATATTGTTGGAATACCTCCGCGGAATACTTTGAGATGATGGTAATGATTCTTCATGAAAATTTTGGATGCCTTTCGGCTTTGAATGAACTGTCTTAACTTTGTTTCTCAAATAGCTAGATAATATATTCAAATCTGTGATATTGGAGGCTTCGATAGCTGAGCTGATATTATCATCTCCTATTCCCTCAACAATCAAAGAAATTTTATCAGTTTCAGCCAAATCAATTCGCACACTATCTATTTTTGAAAGATGGTGAAAATGGTATTCATAAAGACAGGCGCCCATTTTTGGTCTATGATTCACTAACTCAATAAGCATTTTATAAAAATCACGATTTGATTTGAAAGTCTTCGATATTCCTTTCCAAAATTCCCAGGTGAACTTTGACCAACCCAATTCATTTCGAATTATCCCCTCGTACCAAATTTGTGCAGTTCCTCTCAGTTTGCAGAGAGTCTGGTATTTAATAGTTGAGTCATTCCAACCATTTACACCAGCTTAATAATCTATTACTTGTAACCATATTCCAATATCATCTTTAATCGGGTTGGAATCAGGAATTATACTTGAAATAATCGTATCACTACTTCTAGGAAAATAATTTATATCGCTCACCCCAGTAGGGACTTGACTAACTTGGCTTTGACTCGGTTGCGAACGTCTGTTGTAAGAATCAGTTCCGACGGCGTTTTCGGAAGCGAACTGACGCTGACATCTCATATTCCGAAGGCTCAGGTGTTGATGCATCCCTATCGGAACAGGTATCACTTTCACCGCTTGATGGTTCTTCGAAAATACTCGCCTTATTCTTGGCTTTGCGCATGGTTGGTGTTCTGATCACTTCTGATGTTAGCTTGGTGGACGGTTATTAGAATAAAACACGCTGGATACTCCACGATTTCCACTATATTCACAATATGTATATTCTTAACTACTTGATATTACTCATATATCGATAAATTCCACCCAAAATACCCGTCACCTTTTACGTAACCCCGTGTGTCATCAATAGATCGACACTCATTAATCTAGAAGCACTATACAGGGCGAATATGTACGTAGCTCCTGGATACGATACTCTCTTACACATGTTTCAAGCAAAATTTCAATACAATCTGTAATTATACACTTATATTGTATCAGGCACTACTAGAGTTATTGAAAAGACAAAGAGCAGAATATATGTCTTATTCTTTTATTCACCTAAATCATTGTATTATAGAAAATAGAAAAGGACAAAAGTTCAGCTGTGTCCGAACTCTTATCAAACTATACCATCCAGTGACTCTAGTATACGGTAACCATATTAATAAATTTGACGCTTGCAGGATTCAGAAAGTTCAACACAATTGTTGTAGATATATATACTAAACTTACGATAATATGATCACGTGTCTGAGAACATTGCGAAATTAGGCTGGTTGGGAATGAAGTCTCGTCGTTATTTACATTTCGCTACGTTCTGTTACAAAATCATTTTAACGAAAACTCCATCTTATCTTTATGGGAAATTGGGATTTCGCAGGTACCTCCATAATGTTAATATTCGTGCACAGTATTATATTCATATTCCTTCACACCATACAAAGAGATTTGAATCTTCCTTCGCCTACGGAGCTCATGTTTATAATAATTTAGATGACCATCTGAAGAGAATTCATTTAAGACAAATCTTGAAAAAATCCTCCTAGCCAAACAATTGATCATCAATTTATAATAAATAACTCAATGAATCTAACCAAACAGATTATCCTTAACTTATGATAAAAAGCTATATGTCATAATATATCTATCTCTCACATTTATCAAGAATTTTTTTCCGCTATTTCTTTTATCTTTCTTTTCCATACAAATTGTAGTTCTACTGTTGTATGATATCTATGTTCATCACATTAGTTGTTAGGTTAAAGTGTAAGAATAGTTTTATACTAAACTTTCGCCTAATAAAGACCTAGTATCATTATTATTATCATTATTATACGCGCACGTGAGTTGTCGATGTTGGTAAACACGAAATGTGTATAACTTATAACACTCCATACCCTATTTCCCGGATGTGATATGGTGAAAATCATTTAGATGGGAATAAATTATGTTCACATATTACAAAAAAATTTAATTGATTCCTATTGGACATTAAACCATGACTTTTTACGAACCATTCCGCTAACATAGGTGATCCGCACTGATTGCGGTCCCTCTATTTCATTTTTTCAACGATATATTTGTAAAAAATGTATCCTCTTCCTCTTATGTAACTAAAAGCTGATGATGAAGCTTTGAAGCTTCGAAACATGTCCCGTAATTTGATTACAATAAAGTATAGTTTTGGAGGAATCCTATGCCTTCACTCCACTGTAAGTAGGATCGCCTCAGGTTGACGATTTTTGTAGTTTGAGAAATAATAACAGTGTGAATGAATTAGTGCCACTAAAAACTTACCAGCAGGATTGATACCACCCGGATTAGATTGCGCCAATCCTCCTAAACCCAGAGCAGCTAAACCAGCAAGAGGATTCTTTCCCAAGCTCGCAACCTGGAAAAAAGGTAGATCGACCAATTGGATAATGGCAACAGAGAGAGAACTAATGTTATGTATCTGCTGGAGTACTACACTACAATTCATAAGAAATATTGATTTACTCATGACATCTATTGAGAACTTATGAATGAAATTCCTCGATACTTTATTGAATAATATAAATAACTCATATCATACAAACATTGCCAAGCTATTGAATGTTCATTTCAATGCAAGCTGGTTTCAAAGAAACGTGAATGAAGAAAGCAATATCCTTGTTGATTGATATACCAAATCAAATAACGTTGATGTTTGTAACGCTTCTGTTGATTATTAAAAGTGAAATAAATGGACCAAAATAAAATATCATATTAGAATGTATGAAAAGTTTCCATTACAGGTTACACTCTGATCCATGACTTATGGGACACCCTGTATAATGATGCATACAAGAGCACGAGGTAATTCACAACACGAGGAGTGTCTTAAACCGTGTGCCAGTGTATTAACAGTCATTACATGACCGTTGCATACACTATTTGTTCTAGGACCACCAAATAATAAAATACTATCAATATCTCAACATCCTCAAATACTCCTGAATATGTATACTTCTGGCCTCATTAGCCGTTCGATGACCGACAATTTTACTTCATATGACGTCACTGATAGTGCTCTATTGGATATGTAACTATTGAAATTCACTCTTCACACCACTACGTTATTTATGGCGAATCGGCACTTGAACTTGCTCTCCTAAAAAATCTCAATAATTTGTTATTTTATATTATTTTTAGGGAAATTATAATACTTATATGGTATTTTTCTGAGTTAACTATCCAGTGAAAAAGTTATTTTTTCTAGAATGAAATAAAATAAACAAAATCAGGAAGGTATTGGAATCGTTCTTAGATGGTTTTGAGCACGTTTTGAAGAACATATTATGAAATTTCCATAACAATCTGTCAATCTAACAGCACACTAAAAAAATCCAACGAAATAGATTCTTCTGTGAACAAAACCAATAATGAAGGATACATGTCTTGACAATAGATTATATCGAATAGTAAAATAGAGGCTAAGGCGACAAACAATAATTACGCCTGAACCAATATTGCGACATGTACTACCAGTCACTCTCTTTGGCTGGTAATATAATCTTTTCCTATAAACATTGCAAAGAATGGCTGACAAAAGTTGCGTGTACATGGGATAAAAAATGAAGATAAATAATGAAGAAGAATAACCACTTTCATGAGTAGGAAGTAATTGTCAACCACCGAAAAGATTGAAGATGTGTTGTAGCGGCTCCATAACGAAGAAAGAAGGATAAGTTTGACGCGTAGGCTTCGGCCATTTGCAAACAATAAAATAATAGACAAATGATTCAATATTCTTAGTCATAGTAAAAATACTGACAAATGATTACTTCATCCTCGATTTTTGAATAAATACTATTTTCTTTACTGCTCTTATATAAATATGGTATAGAGATAGTGTTAAAGATTGACGACAACCAATAAATTAGGTTGGAATAACAGTGCCACTGTATCTCTGAATGCACCATATACTTTCAGCTCTTCAGAAAGGAAATAGGTAATTTATCTCAAAATGTTGCGGTTGAAACATGTTGATCATCTGGAAAGCAGGGCATTTCAAACAGAATAATTCAATCAAATTGACAAGCCTTCATTTCAATGAATAAAACCCGTTTTCAGGATACTTACACCTGCAAAAAAACTGAAGAAGTTGATTCAAAAGAAGTTGATTCAAAAGAAGTTGATCTTCCATTAAGATATTAGTCAATCGTATGGTGTCCCTCCTTCGCCATGCATATTGTGCAAAACAAAATCCATCATACTGTCTGTAGGTTAATCGAGGAGGTGATATATTCATTATTGCAGATTTTTTGGGGTTTTCTCTCCTATAACTCATCTATTTGCCAACGTCATCATTTGTCACTGAGAAGTGTCAAAATTAATACCTGACGTAAAATGAGAAGAATATATTCCATTTTTGTTGAAAACGGGAGCAGATTCGTTCCATCGTCCAAAGATAAGTGAAAATTTGATATTTTTTCTCATTGTCTCATTGACAATGAGGCTCTCTGATAGAAGAATTTTTGATCGGAGTGATATTTTGGAGCAAACCATCTGGTTTGTCCTCACTACACGTGTATTGAAATAATACTCATATTTTTATTTTATAGAAACGAGGAGAAAATCTGAAAAAATCAGCAATAATGAAAATCCATCATGATGAAAATTAAATATGTAATGTAGCTGTATGTTTTACCCAGCAAGATTCCACTAATTTTATTATCACCAACAACCATAGAACAAGTTTATGAAAGCGAATCACAAAATCACATGTATCAATTATTACCATTTACCAATACTCCAGATTGAAAGGAAAAATCGGCTCTCCAGCAGTTAGTCCATAGTTTTTTTAAGAGAAAATTACAAAAATTCTACACGTTGATGTCAACATGCATAAGAATATTGTGTGTGCATTCTGTGTGTTTAAATAAGGGACTCATGACCAACTCAAGAAGAGAGCTATCAGTGATTTCCACAAAAATATTTGTAATATATATTTATTAGTTTGAATGGATGGAGAGGATTCCCCATCGGACAGGCATTGGCGAGTATTCATCACTTGACTAGCTTAAGTATGTCTACAAAGCCCTCAGTGATCTATTTCTAGGATCTGGGTGATTTACCTACGCCAAAAAACGTTTTCATACGTATATTTTCTGGATTCATTTTTGATACTAATTCTTTTATTTCACATAATTTGTTAGTTAATTGAATGTGAGGGCGTGATACCCTATTATCTGAGGACATAAATTGTATCATCTGCAGTAATACCACAAGAGAGGTAGAATAAATTGAAAGTAAATCATCGAAACCATCCATAATTCTCAAAGTGGTCCAATTGTTTTTTTGAAAGTGCTTCGACAGAATTTCGAAAAAACACGTTGCTAGGGAATATACACTAGTACCCAAAGGGCCCAAGTAGATATTGCCTAATGACAAGTTTCAGAGAAAATCTATAGAAACAATCTTTGGTAGAAGTCTACGGTTTCTCTAAGTGGATTCAAGTATTAGATACTAAATGATACACGAAGTCCTATCCACGACATTCAATGTGATATCCATCATCAGCCTTATAAGAAATTGCATTATTATTGTCATGGGGATGAAGAAAGAGGTTATGTGACCAACTTTAACATCATAAATGTTTGTTTGGGTTTCAAAGTAGAAAATTAAAATGGGGAAACCCAACAAACCCCCGGAAAATTACCATGCAATATTTTGTAAGAAACATCAAATGGCACATATGGATGCGAAATTGGGGGTTTGTTGGGTTTCTACATTTTAAATTTCTACTTTAAAACCGAAACAAATATTTATGATGTTAAAGTTGGTCACATAACCTCTTTTTTATCCCCATGACAATAATTATGTAATTTCTTATGTCATTCCCAAGATTTTTATGTAGATTGATAACAGTTATGTCAAATCAATAAAAACAAACACCTGTTCCAAATTATTTCAGCGGCATTGATATATAAGTAGATTAAACCCAACAGAAAACTCAAGTGATGAAAATAGCAACAGGTAGATGTTCATTATGTATTCAAATGATCCATACAATTCAATATATCTTAGTATTAGCAAAGATTACATACACTCTAGATAGACAACGCCTATAAGAAAATTGACAACGCTCCGATGGGAAGTAACAGACCGGCGGTTAATTAGCTGTTCTGATTCGTAGTAATGATATTAAAATCGGAATCGGTGAAGTACTGAGCGTTATAATTCCCAACTGAACGTTGCTCATTCTTATATTAATGGTGTATATCTAGAGTGTGTGGTATTAGTATCGAATTGTTGACAAACTTCAATCAACATTTTGAGAGAGCCAGTTTTTCCATGATTATTCGTAAATATAGAAACATGCAGATACAGTATGTATGATAATGAGCAATTGTGAAGTGTAGTGTAATATTTAGGCAGTACAATGAATCAAAATGCTTAAAAATGTTGGAATCACTATTGATAGTATGATATTTCATAGAGCTGCACATGGCATTGTAAATATTGAATATACTTCAACATCAAGACACTCTTACTCATTGAAACTACGTTTTCAGTTATCTTTTTCTCCTTTTTGTTGATGTATTTTCATAGTAGGATCAGTATATGTATAAACAATGATAAATATTTTTAATCTATTGAATCTCCCTTTGATGTGAATTTCCTTGCTATGGAATGAGTGAACATGAAATCAAATTTGATGATATCCAATTGTGGTAACCCAACAAAATGCTTCAAACTAACATTTCTACAGAAGAAAACTTACCAGCACACACCAAATGAAATAATCTTCTTGCATGAACAACATCAGTGCAAACAAACTGCAAATGTTCCTTGGATCTAATGTTGGGAATTAATACATTCCATGTATTTCACATGTCAGGCAACAAGCACTAACAAGCAGATTGGGACACAAGCACGACAAATATGGATACAAATAGTGAACTTTACCTACTGGGGCTACTAGATCTCTAAAGGTTTGGGTAGGTGTCAGGGTGAAAAAGGTGAAAGACATTCGACAAGGTGTTGCCTGGTGAATCTGAGAAGTATATTTAACCGATTATATCAAATTTATGTATTCTTCTGGTTCCAAATGTCCCATATAAATGATATTCTAATGAACTGTGAATCGATATTCTTCAATGAACACATTTCATTATTTTTGAGACAAGGCTGTTTTAGACCTAACCTAACATGACCAATCTAAACAATTCTAGCTATGGTGGTTGGTTAATTCGAATTCCTTAATTATCTCATGATATTGATGTTCTCTGTGGTGTGAACACCTAATATATTTCATGATGAGTATATAGAATATCATTGAAAGTTATAGGTTAACCCCTGTATCCATTTGTTACACTTCACTGTTGAAATATTGAGAAGAAATACAGTTACATAAATATAATGAGTATGACAGGTGTGTTAAATAACTTGAAAAAAAGAATTAATATATCAAATGATCACTTTTTGATAGTGAAAATCCGTCATTTCCTGAAAGGCAGTAATTTAATTATACATATCATTTCCAAGTATATTAACAAGTTTTGTAGTATACTGAGACAAATTCGGTATATGGTTTCATCTTTGAATGGGTAATTTTTTGACCAGAATGACATTCCGAGAATTTTATCCAGAGATGCTTTTCCTTCTATATTTTCTACGCCACTGATGAAATTTCGATTATTTTCAATTTCTCGAATTGATTGTTACATTATTTTGAAAAAATGCAGCACCTTTAACTAATGAACAGTTATCGAGATATTTGACCCAAAATAGAAGTTTGCATAGTAATTTTTCATCTTCTTCAGTAGTAGATTACAAAAATTGTTGGTCTCTCTTTATGCGTGGAATAACTATTTTTGTTCAGCTACATAATGCGATCCGAATAGTATCTAATCTACTCAACACCAGAAATATATTTTTGCCATTTTCTACTACTGAAAATGATGAAATATCACTATGCAATCTATTTTGGGACGAATATGTCGGAAACTGTTCATTTCAGCTCAATTGAAGGTGATGCATTTTTTGAACAAAATTGAACAATGAATTCAAGGAATTGGAAATAATTGAAATTTAATCAGTGGCGTAGAAAATATGGGAGGAAAAGTTGCCACACCCCCCTTTAGGGCACCACTGGATAAAATGTCCGAAATGGCTTCCTGGTCAAAAAATGACCCATTCAAAACTATATACTGAAGTTGAATGTAATTTTTCTTGAGATACTGCGAAACAACAATTTTTAGTTCTCAACATTAACGCCCTGTATCTCGAGAACTGAACACTTGAAGACCGTATGTCCCTATCTCAGTGATTATGAAATCACGAGGGCTATCACCTGTCGTGCGTTGTCGGTCGAATTTCGCAACACCCTGTATACAGGGGTTATATGATATTTGTGAATATTATGTACATATCCGATACATTCATTTTGTGAAAGTTGTAATTTCCTTATTTCAGATAAACATCGCTCAGATCCACGCAGGCTAAACACCACGACACGCAAGACCTCAAGTTCCGAGAGACGCTGCACAAACACGAGAGGAGGGACGGACGAGTCGGGGCGGGGCGCACCATAACGATCAACTTACGTCGGGCGGCACGAGCAGATGCGCGGGCGGCATGGCGGCCTGCAGAAACGGTCCGTTGTTCTTGTCGCCGCCGTAGTAGAACTGCGCCTGCGCCGGGGCGGCCTGGGCGGCCATCGGCACGGGCAGGGGCGGGTGGGGACAATGGTGGGAGAATAGGGCGGAGGGGGGGGCGGCGATTAGTGTCGTCGGACTACTTACGTCTGTGTGGGCGGGCACGGCGTAGTTGCCTTGGATGGTGTAGGCCTGTCCGCCGGCCAGGATCACGGGACCGCCTACTGGGGGTTTGGGGCGGTAGGGGATGGTTGCTCCTTTGGGAGGGGACTGAAACAAAAATCGTACTGTCATCGAAAATATGATAATGCAGACGATTCATTCGAAATGTATTTGTTGAATACAGTTCCCAACACACTAAATGCACCACTCATAATTTGACTCTATTTCGAAGACCTGTATTTTTTGAAAAAAATGACCGATCTTCATGCGGTTTTCGATATCAGATGTGATGTTTCATCAGCTTCGAAGAGATTTGATTGATATTTATTTCAGTTATTGCATTACATTCTCTTCTTCATTGATACATTTCATACAAATAATATATATAAAGTATAATTCATTTTCTAGTAGGACTGACATGAATGATCAGACAGTAATTTCTGGTATAAGATCATTCATGAAGTATTATCGACTGTTGTATAATTGAAATTACAAATAGTGAACAAAACTTATATATCATTAAGATAACTCAAAATAACAGTCATATTATAGTGAAAAAGAAGGGGAAAAATAAAAACAGTGAAAAAAAAAGAAATTCATAGTCTTTCAGCTTTGATCATTCCTTTGCATATAAATATATGATAATAAGATAGTTCAGATTCTCAGAAAAACTCTATAGTTTTTTATATTCAGGATGTGTTTGTAGATGTTCATAACTTGGGTTCTAAGGACAATATATATTTTCCATATGGACATTGATTTGCTCACAACTTCCAGTTCCCATGTAAGTTTCAAAGTTTATTGATAATAAAACCCACAAACTGTTTCATTCCAGAAGACCTATTTTATTGCAAAGAAAAGTGAAAACACTGAAACAAAAAGTAAAAAGGAGAATAACAATCTTGATGAGGTACTAAAAACTACAAGTTCAAATTGCTGAACTCAAGAGATACATCATATTGTCTTTTCAGATTTGCCTTTGAAGCTTCTCCTTCTCCAGAAAATAAAAATGAAGCTGTACATTCTGGGCGACGCAGATATCTTTGATGAAAAAAATCGTCCTAACATTGTACTTTTATTCACAAAATTGGAACTTGAAAATTAGGCTTAAAATATACCTTAGGTAATCGATACCATTCAAGAAACTCTTTTCAATTTTTTTTTATCGTTTTTCTATTTCTTCTGATAGTGCTGAGACATTGAAGTTTGCTCACCCTGTACAATATATTGTGACATTTGAATAAGAATATATAATTTCAAGTTTGTATTCATTTGCCAAGTGAATAAAAAAATATATAATTATTTTCAAATAATAATCCATCGCAACATTATCCATTTTTCTATATGAATATTTATATTCAATCACATATACTCCTCAATAAAAGCAAAAAACAAGAAAATATTTCAAATAATGCGAGCACTTCCCATTAGCCAACATGAGATAGTAAGAGATAGGTTCCGTAACGACTGCAGGTTGCCTGAACAATATTTATGCCTTCTCGTCGTTCACAGAGGATCCCTTCCAGGTGTTTATATTGAGTTGATTGTACGTATATGGTTGGATGAAACACAATGTCTCAACTTAATTTCGGGCCATATGTCATTTCGTTATCAAATAACGGTCGAAAGCCGAAGCCTCTCCGCCTATTAGTTGGCCCAACTTCACGAAAACAGCTCCTCGTATCATGTAGCAAACAACTAACTCAACCCACCTCGAGCATGACGTTACAAATGTGGAAGATGCACTGCGTGATCGCCTCCCCCGTGCCGGACAGCGTGACCGCCCGCTCGGTCGAGTTGGGTAGCATCTCGGAGGCCACCTGAATGGAGGCGCCCGTCACCTCGCGGATCTCCTTGATCTTGGAGCCGCCCTTGCCGATCAACGAGCCGCACTGGCTGGCGGGCACGACGAGCCGTAGCGAGATGGGCGGCCGCGGAACGCCCGTGCTCACGCTGTTGATCTCCTGGAACTGAACGGGAAACATTTATACGGGGTGTCCCACGATGATCAACACGTTGACGGATATGCCCGTCGTTGTTTTTGTTCTTGGCTGGGATACAAAATATCCATTAGATAAGATTGAAAGTGTTATTGTTAATCGTCTACACTGCAGGAGGTATATTTTTTTGCATCATAGAATCAGATAATATGAATATATATAGCAGTACCCCCTTGTTTTAAAATTGTGAATCAACTCAATGTATTATTGGATTCGTTGTTGAACGTTTGTTTCATGGAATTGGTGACAATCATAAGGTATATTTGCTAGTAAATCTTCTTGTTTTGAAGTAGTTCAAATTTTGAATTTTATAGATCGCAGCTTTAAAAACCCAAGTAGAAATAAGTGTTTAAGTACTATGAAAATACAAATAAAATTAATTTCCATACAGTGTCAAAATAACTGGAAATTACCAAGATAATGAATCAGCTCTCATTTATTATTAGACATAACAATAGAAAGGTATGTAGTGATCTATAAATAATGAACTGCTGAGTTACTTTATGCAAGGACAAGACTCTGGAACGGAACTCACCCCAATATTCAATTCACTTGCAGTTAACATTGAAGTGGAGAAATTGACTTTGTTGAGTTATTGAATGTGGGATATTCATACTCAACAACTCATAAACTATGCATTCCTATCATCATTATTATTGTCAACTACGATTTGATGGGGTGTGAACTACATTTTAGTTCATTGAAAATAGTTTGTATATTCATTTAGTAATTATATTCAAGCTGAAACGGTCAGCGTGATTATTTGGCGTTTGTACACAACATGAACTCGATAGACTACAATGTGTTCATTAAAAGTTGCGCACACTATTTTGGATTACGTTGAACTGTATAATGAATACTTTGATTTTATTTGGAAAACCCAAGACTTACCTCGAGTTGACTTGATGAGGTTATGTGGAATGACTACTAGATATAACCCATTTTCTTCTTCATACAGTCAATGAATGTGACGAATAAATAAATATATTACTTATAGCAATCATAATCATAACACTGAATAAAATATATAATTATCCTTTGAATTATTATGAATAAAGTATCACTAGACACCCCTTGTCATTAAAACATGTTTGAGACCGTTTGCCCATAACACTAGATTTGTCATTTATCTTCGAAGGTATGCCCTTCAAGGGGCATGAAGATTGAGTTGCCTTATCGGGAAAAAAGTGGTTTATTTCTGTTCAAAGTAATGTTGAAAATTAATCGGGCGCTATGGAAATTGACGATATTTACGGATTCTCTTAAAATATTTGGGATATTAGTTTCCTTCTTTTTCCGTTTTACGGTACTTAGAAACATTTTCCTAACAATCAGTTCCTGGTTAATCGATTGAAATGGGGTTATCATAGCTATTTAGAAATGACTAGACAATATTGATTTGAATTAATCAAAAATTAAATTCTGAAACATGGAGATATTAGTCAAGTATCCAAACCCTAACATCATTTATCACCACCTCTATGAATTTCGGGACCTCCTCCAACCTGAGCTGTCCAAACACATATATACAGTGTCTCACGGTCGATAATAATAATAATAATAATAATTATTTTTATTTTCTGTTAAATGTATAACATGAAACAGTAAAGTACGTCAAAAAAAAAAAGAAAAAATATAACAAACAAACAATGTGACAGCATCACAATTAAATACAATATATTCATCACGTTACTAACATTACATAGAATTACATAAAATACTCATCCAGCATATAGCAGGCCTTTTGAATTAGCTGTTGTTTAAGCCTCTTTTTAAATATATTCAAGTTTTTGGAGCTCTTAAGTTGTTCATCAAGAGAGTTATATAGTTTACAACCAGTATAATAAAAACTTTTCTGGTACAACGTAGTCCGGTGTCTCTCAGGTTGGAGGTGGCTTTTGAAGCGTGTATTATGATCGTGCTTCTCAACAGTATTCAAAAACATGTTTTTATTTTTATAAACGTATAACCAAACTTCTAGTATGTATAAACTAACTACGGTTAGGATGTTGGCAGTTCTGAAATATGCTCTGCAACTTGTTCTCATATCGACACTAGCAAGAATTCGAATTGCATACTTCTGAAGAACCAGTACTCTATTCACATGAGCACAATTGCCCCAATGCAAAATCCCGTACTTTATGTGGGAATGGAAATTGGCATAGTACAACGAGAGTAGTATGTGCCGACTGCAGTGGTTCTTCATGAATTTCAGACTATAACAGCTACTCTGTAATTTTTTGCACAAATTATTAATATGATCAACCCAATGAAGCTGCCTGTCGAAAGTAACTCCCAATAGTTTTAGTTATTTCATTATCAGAATCTTCAAATAGTTTGACTACATCAATCCTGCTGGAACCAAAAAGAACAGTTATTGTTTTTCCATGATTAAGTTGTAGATTATTATTTTTTGACCATTTCTCAATATTCGAATAGACCATTTCAGCAGTACTTTTTAGCCTATTTAGATCTTCATCAATAACCAAAATATTCGAATCATCTGCATAACACGTAACATGAACATTCTGTATCTTCCGAATATAAAGTATAAGATCGTTGGTACCATACAAGCATACCAGAAAAATGACATTGGATTATTCTTCTTCAGTAATGTTTACAACTGGGGTATATTCATTCGTAGAACCTTGAAACTTTTGATGCAGCATACCACGGTTATATGTAATAGTTTTGTATGGAGTAGTTTGTTCTGCATTATACAGGGTCGGTAAATATTAGTGATTTCGAAGAACAGGGTTACTCACCTCTTCAAACTTTTTACATATCAGTGTGAATGCTTTGAAAATGGCACTTGTTACTCCTATGACTGTGACGATTCTTTCGGGACACGATCCATCGGATATGTTTATTATGGCGCCACTCTGGAAGAAAATGAAAATGAGAAAAACGTTGAAAACAAACTATTCTCAAGGTTTCAGTGGTTCATGTTTTTCACATAGGTATTCATGAACAAAAATAAATCAGTTGACACATACAGTATATTTTAGTACGAAAGTTTGGGTTATTTGGGGATATGCCAGAGAAAGGTCAGACACATTATCACAAGAAATGGATCACAGCTGTACTACTAACATGTTCTGCAGATGAAGTGCATCGAATTATATATTCCATGGATTATTTTGGCATGAGGAAATCCATGGCACGTCTTTTAACTGTCCATAGCTTTAAAATGATTCCCAATTGATTATATTTTCGAAGGTTGAATAATTTGTATTATGAGGATGACTAAAAAGGTGTCAAAATTTCATGTTTTTGACTCGACTCTCGTTGAAACTGCTGTTAAAAGTATAGACTTACTTCTCTGAACTCGATTTTTTTTACAATTTGACGTTCGATAGTAATTATTCAGTGGTCCAATGCAGATAGATATGTTTTCTTTCCTAATATTTCATTTTTATCTTCCGGTAGACCTAACCCTAATGTGTTGGCGACTAAATCTGATTTATCTCTCAAAAGTTATCTGTTCTTTGAACGTTGTGAATGTAGATAGTTCAGACCAAACAAAATCTAATAATTCAAGATGGTGGTTTCGCCGTAATCCTGTCCGTATAATAATATAATAACCCTGCTCGTAACCCTGGTAGACAAACTAATGGAATGAAACTATAGAACAAATGAAATATAGTGGAAAAACATGCAGCATGTCACAATTGAGGAACAATTATTGATCACATAAGACTCAAACTTTCAATTTATATTACAGATCTTGCAATCTTGAAAAGTACATTTTTTTAGACGAAATCTGAAATATCTGGCAAGGAAACGAAGCAACTTCGAACATAGGCGAGTTCTGTCCAATTCGATCATTTTCATTCTTGGTATCAACAGTTCTCCTATTCAGTAATATTTTGAATCATTCATGATAGTATGTAACAATATGACAATTTGAAGAACACTAGGTATTTTGACAAGGGAGACAACTTAAGTCTTCAGTAAATCATCTTATCCAAAAAACACCGAGGACACAAGAATATTGTCATATGATAATATTTGCAATCTTACCTCTTCTCTAAACCTTTTAACAATTTCTCCTTTTTTTCCTATGATGCTGCCCACCTCCTGCAATGAAAAAAGTTGTGATTTATTATTCGAAACACTGTGCTACTACATGAAAATGATTGTCAATTTCATCAGAAAAAATGTAATTCCTCAATCGATCCGGAGAAGAATCACATTCATTTCAAGGGAGTTTTTTCAGGGATTCATATGCCCTTCGAGGAATACATAGGTACATAGAAAAAACTCCTATCCACATTTTGAAGGAGGTTTTGATTTCTTTTTTCAATTTTAAAAAGGGGTCTTGAAGGGTACATTTTCCAGACAAAATATTGTGACAAACAGTTTATAACTCGGTTAATGAAGGAATATATTCATCGACAGGAGACAAACTTCAATTCAAGTATCTTTTTTGGAGGATTTACTGATGTCATGGCTAGCCATGACGACCATTGATTTACCATTTTGCTTTTGCGCGTTTTATAGTTCAAGTTGGAAAAGTTCTCACTGTTACATCATTGGTTTGAAAAGATAACTGTCTTCAAAAAATACGAAACATTAATTTCCTATATTTTATGTTATCATACAAACAATGTCAGGCTAGAGCTCCTGAATCTGGGCAAGAGCAAGAGAAGTATAATGCAAGTCACTGAAACATAATATACCATTTTAATAGGATTTACAATCATTTAGAATCCTTTCGAATGCAGTAGAAATTATGGGTATAATATGCCAACTTGCATGAAAAGACTAATTGAAAGTGTTCGTGACAATGTAAAATTGAGAATACTACAAAGAATTTGCATATAGAAACGATTTCCTTCTGGGTTTTCATGTACCTCAGGAACTGAAAGCATAACTAAACTGGGCGTCAATTGAAACGTTCATAGTGAAATTTGGCATCAAGTTTGACTTCTCGTAATTTCAAAAATATTGAACGAATTTTTAATGGCCGTCCAGATTCTGAATGCCTTTTTCATCGTCTTTCGAACCGTTCCTTACAGCTTCTTCTAAATTGATCAGGACCCATGATACAGGGTGAAACAAAGTTTCGTGCATTTTGAAAAAAAATTCACCGCCCCCCATTTTGTGGGAAGACCACGATGCTCATAGAGGAGTTCCATAAATTGATGCTTTCATGCATTTCAGGAAAGCGTTGGAGCAGATATGTATACCAGGTTACTCAAAAACAATCAATAATTTATTACTTAATCAATTCTGATGAATTGGAAAACGCAATTTTGCGTGAATGGAAGGCTGTTCCCAATTGTATATTCAGAAGTTAGTGGACAGTATGCCAAGGCGAGTGACTGAAGCCTTGAGGGTCAGGGGAGGCCCAACAAAATATTAATAATGTATCGTTGTTTGTTTTTGTTGATGAGATGCGAGATGAGATGAGATGCTCAGTTGGGTAGAAATTTTCATCATATACTGCGAAGTAATAAATTATTGATTGTTTTTGAGTAACCTGGTATACATATCTGCTCCTGAAATGCATAAAAGCATCCATTCATGGAACTCCTCCAAAATTATTCCAATTCAAAAAAAATGCAAAAAAATTTTTTTTTTTTTCGTAAACCACAGTAGTTTTCGGCAAAAACTCGAAAACATCCCGAGGTATGGTTGCTATTTATAAAATGCCTGAATAAAATATGAGCATAGTGGTCTTCCGACAAAATGGGGGGGCGGAGAATTTTTTCAAAATACACGAAACTTTGTTTCACCCTGTATCATGTCCGTATCAATTTAGAAGAAGCTGTAAGAAACGGTTCGAAAGACGATGAGAAAGGCATTAAGAATCTGGGCGGCAATTCAAAATCCGTTCAATATTTTAGAAATTACGAGATGTCAAACTTGATGCCAAATTTCACTATTAACGTTTCAATTGTCGCTCAGTTTATATAGACTCACGACGAAGAGATGAAAAAATGTCTTTTGAAGCACTTAAGAAGTACTGTTTGTTGCACCGCATGTAAAATTTCTTAAAAAAAAAAAAATAAATAAAAAGGATAAAAGCGAAAGCGGAACTGCTTCACAGTTCGAATGATATACTATACTTTCTCTGCACGAATGCACACTCATTTCTCCAGAGAGTCAGTATTTTATAAGCCTCTGCTGATCTCAGAGTAGCTAGTGCAATTATTTTTGAAGTGCACAATAAATGACCTTCTTTCCATGGCCTCACATTTCACGACTAAAATTGATGTTTTTAATGATTATCATTTAAATCTGACTGATGATGACTGATGAGAATATAAAGAATCGACTTTAGATAGAAATTGGGACCAAGCCTGGACAACAAAACACATCAACAATTCACAAAGACACTTTATGCACGAAATTAAGAACATGTTGAATTCAAGTCATACCATTTGATTGATAGTAAGAACAGGGTGATTCACTATAAATGCCCCCCCCCCCACTAGCTCAGTTATTTTTGAACCGATTTCAAAATTCGAAATATCTCAAATGATTTTCGATAGAGTTCTTTCCGCTACATCAGGAAATACAGGGTGCTCGGAACAAACGATCTACAGGTTACTATTTGAATGATTACAGAGATATAGGGTGTAAGATTTTTCAACTTCAGGATTATTCTGTGACGAAACTATTCTTTATTGGTCAAAACGACATCTACTGAAATTTAATAATTGACAGATACAGGGTGTTGAGAATTCTAAATCTTGAGGCACACTGTATATGTTCCAATTAAATGTCAGTAGATACTAAATCAAAAGTTGAGGCAGGGACAGAGAAGCCGTTTTGACCAATAATGAATAGTTTGGACACAAAAAAATCCTAAAGTTGAAAAATCTCGATTTTGAACACCCTTCATCTCTGTAATCATTCCCGGTAGACCCCAAGTTTGATGAATTGATGAAATAAGCTCTTCAGGGAGAATCTAAAATGCAATGAAGTACAGGCTGTTCCATTTGGAAAAATCAAGTAGTACTCTGTAGATCGTTTGTTCCGAGCACCCTGTATTTTCTGATGCAACGGGAAAAAATTCTGAAAAATCATTTAAGATGATTTTTCAAAATTTTAAATCGGTTCACAAAATAAGAGAGCTAAAGGGGGGGACATTTATGGTGAATCACCCTGTACATACATATACGAAATGCTTTGTCAAGTATCGATTTGGAAATTTCTCGTCTCGCCAACTTTCCGTTCACTTACAAAGGCTGTATTATTCATTTAGTTACTTCACTCAGTTTCTAATTGAATCAGTTCTGGATAAACGACATGTTCTATAGTTCATACATTCACAAGGAAGAACGCAAAGCGGAAAAGTCGATTCAATTGTTTTTTTTTTTAGATACCTCCTTGCAACCAGTTTCTCTTTCGAGTAAGAACAAAAATGCTGATGAGTTGAGAGAGATTTCTTTTTGAGTTAACATAGGAGTGTATGCCATCTCTCCTCAGAATATATCATTTCATAAAATCACACGAAACCACATCAATTAATTGAAATATAAAACAAATATATGCTGAAATTCTCACTATACTATTATGACATATAGATGATATACACTGTGTCCCACTTTTAAAGAATACACTATATCTTAGGAATTCTGGTAGTGATTGTAAGTTTGGAAAATTGAGTATGCGTCTTATGCCGGGTGACACAGGAGATATAAAACAGCCTGTACTTTTCTTATTTGAAGAGATACAAATTTGAAATTTACAAGGGTTATATTTTCGATGATGGTGCTTCCCTTGAACCGACAATCTTCTTCAATCACTTGTTTGATTGGAAGTAGACTTAATTTTTGATTATGGAATCAAAAACGCCTCGGAAAATACGATGAAAGATTTGGATTCATCTTAAAAAAGTTTATCAAGAACGTCCTCTAGGCAAAAAGTTCTAATTCTTTGATTTTCGATTGAAAAATTGAATATTAAAATGAAAAACTTCCCTTTTCCTTCAATAATTCAAAAAAATTAACACAAACATATTTTTTTTACATATAATGGGATGGACTGAGTGTACCAATTTTTTATTCAAATGGTCAAAAAATGATTTAGTCTGAGACGTGTGACTACAACGCTTGGCATCTTGTGCCTCATAGTTACTCATATGTAAACAACGCAGAGCGCAGTTGCCAAGTTACCAACGGATATTTACCGAATGTCGCCTATACTAGGTACTTATAGTAGGTATTATAAGGAGTTATTATACGGATAATTGGATAATAGATAGATAATTGAGAAAGGGCAGAGAAACTGGAATGATCCCATGATTGCTGACTACTGTTCGACTCTTGTTAAAGATGTCCCAAAAAAACAAAATTGAAAAAGAAGAGCAAAAAAACAACGTATTTAGTGACTTCAAAAGTGTATATACTTGTCATTACTTTGTTAAAAAGAAAAAAATAGAGAACTTGCTTTTGAAAACTGGAACCAAGTTTCTGATATCAGTGTTTTTCTGTATTCACCGCTCTTAAATAACAAAGAAATTACTTTTCATTCAAGATACAAAAAATAAACTTAAACTTGTTGCCCAGTGTCTTACAACTTTAATTTCAGCATAGAAAATAATTTGAAGCTTTTTTAAAATTCTTTTATCTCTCAATTTTTGTGAAATGTGAAAAACATAGTTGAGGAATAGATGTAACTTTACTACATTTATATTATTTCAAAATTATAGTAAAAGGCAATTTCATTTGTGTCAGATTTCTCATGAACCTGTCTACGCTATATTCGCGATAGAAAATAAGCGTACGCCACCAATCGGAGTTCTTGAAAGCTGTCAAAGCGGCCTTTTTATTTCGTTTTCATTGGTTCTCATTTGTTTTTTGTTCGTATTTATTGGTCATTTTATCAAAACAAAACGCTCAGAAGTGTTGAAGTTGTTGCCGTCAGGTGACGCGACGTGTTATTTTCTATCGCGAATAGAGGATAGAATAATCAAGTCGGACTCGAAATGACAAATTCATTGATGAGCAAACTAGATATACCGGGTGACAGGGTATCAGGCCACCCCTGTAACTTATGCATTCGTAAATTGATTTTCCTGAAACCATTTCAGATTTGATTACATTACCATGCAATATGGCGAACTT